CAATGCTACTACTTTCTTAATGAAATGGGAAACAAAGTTATTAGTCCAGAAATAGGGTAAAAATGGTGGCATTGGAGGACATATAGAACACATTATAGCTATTATACTGTTAAATTTTTATTCCTTATCAATTATTTTGATTCTTCACTTAAATTTAAAAACTTGGATGGAGAATGCAGGATGCTTAGCAGTGTTGCACAAATTGATTTGCTGACTTTAAATGATCTTGTTGCAGAAGTTAAGCATATGTTATCTATAAACCAGAGCATAAAAACCAAACCTGAGTCTCCATGTGGCTCTACTCTTCCAGCTCAAATGTCATTCCTACAGCTAGATCTCCTCCTAATACCCTAGAGTAATTAACTCTCTAGGTACACATTCACAGAATTCTGTGACATAAGAGACAATCTAACAATTAAAAGAAAGCCACAATATACTACAGTATGATAAAGATAAAAGAACAGTAACAATAGAACTCCATCTAAAACAAATCCAAATAGATAAAAATTTAGTTTACATTATTTCAAGTCAGTAGAAGAAAGGCTGGATCATTTATATCAAAAAACATCCAGACAGATTAAAGTTTTAAACATAAAAAATGTAAAAAGTACTTAGAACACATAATAAAAAGATTCAATTTATTTTGTACAGTTGGATATGGTTAAAAGTTTACAAGTGTATTATTCCTGCAATACTTTTTAAAACCTTGTTTCTTCACGGCACCCTCCTACACTGCTGGTGGGAATGTAAACTGGTGCAGACCCTCTGGAAAACAGTGTGGAGGTTCCTCAAAAAATTAACAACAGAACTCCCCTATGACCCAGCAGTAACACTGCTAGGAATTTACCCAAGGGATATAGGAGTGCTGATGCATAGGGGCACATGTACCCCAATGACCATAGCAGCACTTTCAACAATAGCCAAATCATGGAAAGAGCCTAAGTGTCCATCAACGGATGAATGAATCAAGAAGATGCGGTTCATCTATACAATGGAATACTATACGGCTATGAGAAAGAATGAAATCTGGCCATGTGTAGCAACATGGATAGAACTCGAGGGTGTCATGCTGAGCAAAATAAGTCAGGCAGAGAAGGACAAGTACCATATGTTTGTGCGTATAGGTGGATTAGGAGGAACTTAATGGAGGACCATGGGGGAGGAGAAGGGGAAAAATAGTTGGGGAGAGGGAGGGAGGCAAACCATGAGAGACTCTTGAATGCTGAGAACTGAGGACTGATGGAGGTGGGGGAGAGAAGAAGGGGGGTGATGGGCATGGAGGAGGACACTTGTTGGGATGAGCACTGGGTGTTATATGGAAACCAATTTGACAATAAACTATGAAAGGAAAAAAAGCCTTGTTTCTTCAAATTAATAAGAAAAAGAAAAGAGAAAAATCAAACAGCCATTTCCTCCAACAGCCATCAAAATATAAAAATCTATCTAAATTTCCATTCTCTCATCAGTCACTACCCCAAAAGTATAATGGCCCCAGAGTCCACAGTACAATTGTAAATTTATCTTTTAAAATAAGAGGGGAAAAAACTCAAAAGTAACTAAAAGATAATGTAGTAAATGAAACAGAGTTGCCAGACATGGGAACTCCATTTACAACTTGTCTAAAATTAACTTTATAGGCTACACTGAAATCTCAAAGCTATGGTCCAATTTCCCCTTTTAAATTGCAACACACAGTTATTTCTATGACTCACACCTTATTCACATACCTCTTAAGTTATTTCAAGCAATGCCCATTCTGAAGTACTGTTACCTAAATCTGAAACAAATCCAACTAATGCCAGAGATGAGTAATAAAATTTAATTTCTCCAATAGATATGTCACAATATATGAAACTCCTATTTTTTTTAGCCAAACTTACTTTTTTTCTATCACACAAGAATAGATAAATCAGTTTGAACAGCACTTTCAAGAAATTAGAAAAGATCTGCATAGCTGGTAGCTGCTGAAAGTTAAACCAGCATCTTTCAGACTTTTGCTTACCGAGGAAGCCCAAACTAGTCCATTTTTTCAGTAAACAACACTGCTCATTTAAAGACACCTCCACAGGCAATAATTTCGTTAAAAGTTTATTTTTAAGGAAATCTAACTTTTGATAAATTAGACAAATCAGAAGCTTTAATACCAAAGCACTTTAAGTACTCAGTATTTCAAATCAATACATAGTTTCCAAAGACAAGAACATAAAGCATAAAAATTGTTCAAACATTAGTATTAGAACAATAAATTCACATCAATAATATCATTGTAAAATGGCTGTACCATATACAGAAGACTTCCTTCCCCTAACACCTACAGTCCTGACCTACTTTTACTTTTTCACACAATTTTTGGGTTTCTTAGAAAGGGCCATATAATCCAATTAGCCATTAGAAGACTGAACCCAGCTGAATGGTCAGTGAGCCTACTTGAAAACCTGGGATAAATGAACACTTCGCATAACCCCCTTTTATTTCTTTAAAAGCTGTTAGAACATTTTTCCTAGTTTTGATCCAAAATCTTATCTCCCTGTAACTTCTTCCTGTGGTCCTATTTCTGCCCCATCTAACCATATAGGTCCAATCTCACTACTAAAAAGTATTTCTGATAACTGAGATCTGGTAGCAACTAAACTTACCAGCAAACAGAAAACTTACTTCAAAACCAATCATCCCTTAGGAAAGTCTGACTGGAGTGTTAAATTTGAACATAACAGACTAATTAAAGAACTTTTAAGTGTATCACCTTAGGTCATTCAACAATGAAAGTCCTAAGATGATAAAATGTGTATTTATTCTTACCTATTCCCAGGCTAAAAATCATCATTTCACAAACTAAACATGAAAGGCAAATGATGAGACAAGAATGTCAAATACTACTCAAAAACACTCTGAGGGAACTACTTAAAAAGCTTCACTTATTAAACAAGAATTTTTTAAATTTTTTTTAATAATACAACCTCAGTCACATTAAAGAAATGCAAATTCACACTTAGGCTGGCAGGGCAGGAAAATGTGCAAATGAGGAATCACAAAGGGGTATGAGGATCATGACTATGGTGGTTTGACCAATGTACACTTGTGGCACAATTTATCACAGTGTACACTTTAAATATATGCAGTTTATTGTGTGTCAACTACACCCCGATAGAGCTGTCTATAAAAAGTAGGGCATGAGCCAGGGAGTATGAAAACCAATACTCTCATTTAGTGTTACTTTGATTATAACTAGTACAATCTTAGAGAGAAATTTGGAAAAAGCTTAAAGTATGAAAATAGTGCATACCCTTCAACAAAGGAAATTCCTTTTCTCATTAAAACTACTACTACATATCTATATTCTATAGATATAATCACACAGATACAAAGATACACCCAAGAGTGTTCACTGTCAGCAATGTAACTTCATAAAAACTAAAAATTTTATGTCCAGCATTAGGGAAATGGCTAAATAAGCCTGTAGCAGCTTCACAGGTAATAAGTCATTAACAAAAATATTGTAAATAAATCAAATATACATAAAAAGCAAGTTATAGAGCAGTACAGAGAGAAAATTCCCTTTTACATGAGAGTTATGTTCATACATGCTTAGAAAATTCCTAGGAGACGTGAGAAACCATTAACTCGAAGGTGACTTCTGGCTACTTTTCTAGGTAACTTTTCACTTTACATCCTTCAGAATGTTTACATCTTCCCATCATGCACCACATCTTAATTATAACATAATTTAAACTGAATTATATTTTTAAATTATGAATTAAATTGTGACTTTTATTTATTGATTTTTAAATGTTTTATTTATTTTTTTAAAGAGAGAGAGAGCGCACCAAGGAGGGACAAAGAGAGAGGGGGACAGAGGATATGAATTGGGCTGACAGCAAAGAGCCTAATTTGGGGCTCAAACTCACAATCTGTGAGATCATGACCTGAGCCAAAGTCAGATGCTTAACCAAATGAGCCACCCAGGCGCCCTAAACTGTGACTTTTTTTTTTATTTTAATGTTCATTTATTTTGAGAGAGAGAGAGTGTGTGAGCAGGGGAGGGGCAAAGAGAGAGAGACAGAGAATCTGAAGAAGGCTGCAAGCTCTGAGCCATCAGCACAGGGCCTGATGCCGGGCTCAAACCCATGAGAGCAAGATCGTGACCTAAGCCGAAGTCAGACACTTAACCAAATGAGCCACCCAGGCATCCCTCTAAATTGTGACTTTTAAAAACTAAATTGAGGAATCCATGTCTAGCAATATGAGCAAAAACTTTCCCAATTAAATACAACAAAAACTGTTTTGCTCTAAAATAGGCAAATTTTCTGGTAATTAAGGGAAATCCTAAGGAAAAGGGAAAATCAAATAGGAAACGAAAGTGTCAATGGACACTTAAGGCAAAGACACTAAACTGTAGTTTAAAAGGGGGAAATGAGACAGGTATGAAAACCACAGTCAGCAAAAAGGTAAATTAAGAGGAAGGGAGAAAGTTTGTCCCACTTTTCCTACCACTCAAAAGCTTAAAAAAAAAAAGTTCTCATAAAGATTTTATAACCATGGGCTCTGAGATCTGCATTCACAGTCTCTGCCAATCCAGAATACTCTCACCCCTTCTACCAACAATTAATTAACACAAAAGTGATGCCAAGGTCATGAAATCCTCAAGAAAAAAATTCCTTCTACCCAATTTAGCCTGCACAGTACAGCATTTTCAGATGCACCCCTGCTGAAGGTAAACTTACAAAAAGGGATTATATCCCCAAGAATTCCAAACAGAAAACTGTGAGAGACTAAAAAAAATTTTTCATCTATTAGACGCAGAAGAGAAATCACACAAAGAATTAAAAACTCAAATAAAAGACCAGAGAGATTAGAAAGAACTCTTCCTATAAATTGTGTGGGAGCATTCATACACATAAGCAAAAGACACAAAGACTTTGAAAACTGAAGAATTACCAAACAGAAAGATCTGATAAACACTGACAGTTTTTAAAAAATATTCACATAAGATTTTTACTTACTTCTTATACAAGGTTGACTTTATACTGCTGAACCTTTAACATGCCAAATGAGTGGCTCTCCTACTGACTGCAGTCTCCTCTCCTCCTACTGTTTATAAACCCAACACAGTGCTCAACGCATAGTACTGCGAAAAAATGACTAAAAGGAAACCAGCAGATATCTGGGAAGAAAAAAAAAGGTTTACTTCATGACATAAATAATTTCAAAACAGAAAAAACTTTATGTTATTTTTTTATAACATATAAGGTAATCCTTGAGTCCTTCCCTTTGGATATTCTTTCAAAATAAACCTTCATAAATACAATACACATTAATCCTATCTGTGTTCACCAGTACTCTAAAAAACAAAATCAAGGACTTTTATCACTATATGGACTTCAATATTCTTGAAACTGCAAAAGGAATATATAACAGAAAGTTAAAAATCAAACAGTCCAGATAAAACTACCATAAACTGGAAGTAGGTACAACTTTCGTATTTTCACAAACATTTAAATCTGCAAGAGCCAAAAGAACAAGTTGTTTTGGGGTTTTTTTTTTTTCTATTGAGGCTATTGTTTTGACATCACTCCCAATAAGCAACCTAAACAAAAAAACAGTAAGTTACCTTACTAAGAACAATCTCCAAGAAAATGCCAAGTCTCTGGGATTTCACCAATTGAGTTTCCACACTGTTAAGTTGTTTATAAATTATCTAGTTAATGTAATCAAAACACTGAATACAGTGCAACTTCAAAATCTGTGACTGCAAAGACTCCCTTCCAAACAAAAGAAATATATTTTAAGAGGTTCAAAGGAGATACCAGAAATCTAAAATATAGTCACAAGAAAACAATCCCATTCATGATAGCACTAGAAACAATAAAATACTCAAGAATAAATGCAACCAAGGAAGTAAAAGATCTATACACTGAAAGCTGTAAGACAAAGAATTGACGAAAATACAAATATATGGAAACATATGTGTTCATGGAACAGAAGAATACCGTTAAAATGTCCATACTGCCCTAAGCCTTACAGCTAGATTCAATGCAATCTCTATCAAAATTCTACCGGCATGTCTTACAGAAATAAACAATCCTAAATTACATGTGGAACCACAAAATACACAGAACATCCAAAGCAATCTTGAGAAAGAAAAACAAAGCTGGAGGCATCACACTTCCTGATTCCAAACTATACTACAAATCTACAGTAATCAAAATAGTATGGTAGTAGAATAAAAACACACATAAAGCAATGGGACAGAATTAAGGACCCAGAAATTAGCTCACACATATCTCAATTAATATTTGACAAGGGAGTTAAGAATACTCAATGGGGGGGCGCCTGGGTGGCTCAGTCGGTTGAGCGTCTGACTTCGGCTCAGGTCATGATCTCACGGTTCGTGGGTTCGAGCCTCGCATCAGGCTCTGTGCTGACAGCTCAGAGCCTGGAGCTGCTTCAGATTCTGTGTCTCCCTGTCTCTCTGACCCTCCCCTGCTCACACTGTCTCTATCTCTCAGAAATAAACATTAAAAAAAAAAAAGAATACTCAATGGGGAAAAGATAGTCTCTTCAATAAACAGTGCAGAGGAAATGGGATGTTCACATGTAAAAGAATAAACTGAACCCCTACCTTGTAACATTCACAAAACTTAATTTGAAATGAATAAAAGGTTTAAATGTAAAACTACTAGAAGAAAACATAAGGACAAGCTCCTTGACACTAGTGTTAGCAGTGATTTTTGGATACAACACCAAAAGCACAATCAAAAAAGCAAAAATCAACAAAACTGTATCAAACTAAAAGGCTTCTGTGCAGCAAAAGAAACTACCCCAAAGTGAAAAAGTAATTTACAGAATGGGATGAAAATATGTATAAACTAAATTATCAGCTCAGGGGCTACTATCCAAATTATATAAGGAATTCCTATTTAAAAATTTTTTTAAATTTTATTTTAAAAAGGGGCACCTAGTTGGCTCAGTCGGTTGACCATCAGACTTCAGCTCAGGTCACGATCTCTCGGTTCATGAGTTTGAGCCCCACCATCAGGCTCTGTACTGACAGCTCAGAGACTGGAGCCTGCTCTGGAATTTGTATGTGTGTCTCTCTCTCTGCCCCTCCTTCACTCATGCTCTGTCTCTCTCTCAAAAATAAACATTTTTAAAAATTAAAAAAAAATTTTTTTAATGGGCAAAGGACCTGAATGGACATTTTTCCAAAGAAGATATACAAATGGCCAACAGGCACATGAAAAAGTGCTCAATATCACTAATCATCAGGAAAATGAAAATCAAAACCACAATGAAATATCACCTTATACCTGTCATAATGGCTATTATCAAAAACACAAGATAACATGCACTGGCAAGACTATGCAGACAACACTTGAAACCTGCTGGTGGGAATACAAACTGGTATAGCCACTATGGAAAACAGTGCAAAGGTTCCTCAAAAATCCAAATTCACAGATACAGAAAGTAGATTGGTGGTTACAAAGAGAGAGAGAAGGAGAATTGGTCAAGGTGGTCAAAGGGTACAAGCTTTCAATTATAAGATGAGTAAGTTCTAGGGATCTAATGCACAATATGGGGACTACAGTTAACGATATTCTATTACATACTTGAAAGTTGCTAACAGAGTAAATCTTAAAAGTTCTCACTGAAAAAAAACACACAAAAAATGAGGTGATGGATATGTTTATTAATCTTATTATAATAACCATTTTGCAAAATATACATATATCAAAACATTACACTGTACTTTACACAATGTTATCTCAATTACATCTTCATAATGCTGGAAAAAAATAAAATACAGCCACAAGAAGAAGCTCCTATCCTACAGCTATTCTATTCTGTAGACTGTGCTTAGAAACCATGTTTACACAACTACCTTAGAAGCCATGCAAAGGTAGATACTGCCTTTAAAAGACAGTTCGCAGCTGCCACAATCCTACATTTCAAGATCTATAAAAGACTTGTTTTATTAGAAGATGCCTGAAGAGTTAAAAAAAAAACTAAAAAAAAAAAAAACCACGAGGTAAAATCTGTCATGTACTGAAAACAGAAGAAGTAATCAAACTAAATTTGGTGAATTCATTATGGATAAATCCAGACAAAGTCACTAACTAAAAAATTTAGGTGCATCAAAATTTACTACACACAAGTCATTCCAATGCCCCCCCCCCACCTTTTTCTTTTTTTTAATACAAAAGGCTTACTAAATCAGGAAAACGCAATGCACATTATACAATGATCGATTTTGGCAGAGCAGTTGATAAAGTCGACAAGCTACTCTTAGAGACAAGATAGGTAAATACCAAACATGGCTGAATGGTAATACCAATCAGGGAATAGTTAAAAGGCTAAATGATCATATCCCAAAGTTGCCAATTAGTGTTTTAGAAAGTGTCTTAATCACCTATCAAAAGACTGTTCTCTGCCTGAACTTACTAACACTTTAATAAATTTCTTGAATAAGCTAGTTTATAATGATGTATTGAACGTACGAATATCTCAAAAGAGGAAAGAAAACAAAGGATAAACCAACTAAATAATGTTTCATAAAATAAGACTTTTATTTTATCCTTTGCCACCAAACTCTTTCAGTCCCCCAATGAGAACAACAGAAATTCCAGTAGCTAGCTTAGATAAGGAGGGATCCCATGTTATTTCAGTCTACAAACTTACCTCACATAATAAATTGTTCAGGGGCACCTAAATAACTTAGTAGGTTAAGCGTCTGACTCTTGATTTCAGCTCAGATCGTGATCACACAGTTCATGAAATCAAGCCCTGAACTGGGCTCCTCGCTGACAGCACAGAGCCTGCGTGGAATTCTCTCTCTTTCTCTCCCTCTCTTTCTCTGTCCCTCCCCTGCTCATGCATTCTCTCTCAAAAGAAACAAACTTTATTAAAAAAAATAAATAAAATATTCAGTTAACTGGTTTTCATAAAAATGGCTCTTGAAAAGTACTACTTTTGTAATAATGACTTTTTTTTAATTAGGGACTGTTCACCTAAAAGCACACTAAATACTCTACAATGAAATTTCAACATTATGATTCCAGCTAAAGACATGCTCAACAATTTATTCAACATAATGGATTCCAATTATATCAGACATATCGATGTTCTACACACAACTGGAGGAACCCAGAATGTTTTGCTTTGTATACATATGCCGGTCAAGAGGACTGCAGAGCTAGCATCCCTACAACTCTTCATTCGTTTCTGCCTGGCTTCTATTTCCACACTGTTTAAAGGACTTGTGTTTGGCCTTTATTCCCCTAATAGTGCTTTTCTGAGCCATAATTTGACTTTCAAGCGCAGATAAAATTTTTTTAAACGTTTATTCATTTTTTGATAGAGCAAGTGAGAGAATGTGAGCAGGGGAGGGGCAGAGAGAGGAGTCACAGAATCCAAGCAGGGTCCAGGCTCTGAGCTGTCAACACAGAGACAGATTCAGGGCTTGATCTCATGAACTGTGAGATCATGACCAAAACTGAAGTCAGATGCTTAACCAACTGAGCCACCGAGGCGCTGCTCAAGTACAGATAAAATGCCAAATAACCCAGAACTCAGAAAAGGCTGAATTTAGTGAAGAAAATAGTACAGAAAGAATAGATGTTCCAAAGAGTAACATCCCACCACCAACCACCACCACCAAGTTTTCTCTTCCCTCCTTTGTAAATATGATATACCTTCATTTTATCTATTACATTTTACATTCAAAGTGTATTTATTTTCAAATTGTTTCTATTTACATTAACTCATCTTCATTGTGAGATTAATATTTTCTTACATGTGAATTTGGTCGGCTGAGATGGAACACAACATAACTTACCATTAAAATTAATGGAATATGTTTTCATGTAATGGCTTTTCATTTAGCAAGGTTTTCAGGAATGAATTTAAGACATTAAACAAAGGATAGATACATCTGATTCTGAATTCAACCAGAGTTTCGAGAGCAAGGGACACCAGTTCTATCTCAAAAAGAAAAAATTACTCGGCCTCAGTTACTTATACACCAAAATAGACTAAAGAAACACAGGATAAGTGAGATCAACTAGTAGGAACAAGAATCACACTTCAAGGCTTATGGATTTTAATTGATTATAATCATAACAAATTAGTGTGCTACTAAAATCAAATTTATTCTAAAGAGTTTAA